CTCCTCTCCTCTCCTCTCCTCTCCTCTCCTCTCCTCTCCTCTCCTCCTTTTTTTTCCTTCTCTAAAATATTTTCAGGGAAAAGAAACATTTCCAACGTCCCCCAGCTGGGACTTTGATCCATTTGTTTATGTGGTCCTTTGCCAGACCTGTCTTAAATACTTTGGTTCCTCTCTAATTTATCAGTACAAGAGATATTTATATTTGAAGACACTATTCTAAGTAGTTTATTTTCAGCTAGAAAGTAAAATATTACTAGTGATTTATGACTTTAAAAAGTGATGTTATGTACTAATGGAAAATATTATTTTGACAGTAACTTTTACATCATGTAACATGAATTATGCATGGCTGCAGAATTTTGTTAAACTCTTTGAATTTTTATTTTATTGTTTTTATTTTAATTCACGGTTAAATTTTTGGTTTTGCAGTCAATGAAAATTGATCGTTTGTTCAGGGGATGTGTCTTGCTAGCAACTTTGAATAAGAATGGAAGTTCTTTAATAGAGTATTTAAATGACAGCTGTACCATGAAGTACTCCTATATTTTAAATAGAGTGATCAACCTCTTCTATGATAGCAGAGACAGAGCTTTTCTATTCTTAGCTAGTGTGATGATATCCATGCCATTCAGCCCTTACTTCTTTATTAATGTTCTTCTGCCTGCCAAAAGCAGTACAATGTATAGATTTTTTTTCAAGTCCCTATTCACCTGAAATAGCTTGCTTTCTATTTATCTCTGTCTCAATTTAGATTGTGATTCATAGGTCTACAGTGAAACATTATCATCCCTTTAAAGGACACAGAAACAAGAACTAGCGCTGAGGGATCTTCATTCCTCAGCTCTTAGACTCTGAGCTCCCCAGAGCAAGGGCTATCTTTGTATTTTACACAGTGTCAACCACACTATCAGCACCTAATTAAAAAGAAAGAGGATGGAGCCAAGAAGAAGCTGCCTTTTTCATACTTCTGCTGTGGTTATTGACCTGTTAAACATTGCTTTTCTTTCTTTTTAATTCCTGTGCTGAACTGAGAGTTGGATCTCCCTTCAGTAAAAATGGCTAGGAAAAAAAAAAAAAAAAAAAAAAAAAGCCTGTTTGGAGCAGAGCAGAAGGAAAACCTTCCCTTCTGGAGGAAAAGCTTATATCAAAACAAATTACAAAAAAAGTGAAAAATCAGGTTGGAAAAGACTTTGCAAACTCATCTCATCTATCTCTTTTCTGAGGAAGTATAAGCATCATCCATAACCAATTCCCATATTGGAAATTTATGCATATTTTTGCATAGGTATTCTAGCGCTTAACCAGCCTTGGAATGAGATTTTTTTCCCCATTACATCTAACCTATATACCTCATGTTTAATATAAAGCTTGTTCATTTTAGTACTTCCCTTTGAAAAATAGAAGGAAGGCTCCCATATTATCAAAATTCGGTCATCCCTCTGTTCTGAACAAAAATAGTTAATTTTCCTTCTTAGCTCATTCTTCTGAATTTCACTATTCTTATATTTATCAGAATTGTCTCCAATTTATATATTACATTCTTAAAATAAGTCAGCTAAAATGTTCCTGCTAAAGCCTCAGCATTACTGAATGAAGCTGAATATTGTCCTTTATCTTGTCTATATACATGGTTTGTATACATGAGAAAAATTATCTTCCAGAAACAGAAAGTGTGATTTTTGTTCTATTTGGCTAGCAGGCAGTTATAACGTGCAGACTCTTTCATTCATCACTGTTTATTGTATTTTTGTGTGTGTGTGTATGTTGTTTTTGTCCTGTTTTATTTTATTTTATTTTTTTTTTAATGATTCTTGTTGGTTTTTAAGAAGGAAAATAGTAGTAAGTACTCTCAGTTTCTGTGTTTGTACCAGAGTGTGCAGTGTTAAGGAAAAATCTATGAGGAGTAGTGCTCTTTACCAGCATAAGATAATTTTGAAGAGTTGGTTTATATATTCCCTCTAAACATTTCTTAATGAACACAATTTTTGTGTTCACTGGATACCACAATTGTTAACAGATGTATGATAATTTGAAGATGAGTCTCACTTCTGAGTTGTTCATCTATTGGTGCTATTTGCTCTTTGTTGAGTTTTATCATCAGGGACCCTTTCGGAAGATCATGAACCATTAAGAAGAAGCAGGATCCAGATGAGCAAGTGGGGAAAAATCACCTTTCCCGTTAGGCTGGTCAGACTCAAAACTGGTGAGGGGACCTTTTACAGGACAATAGGAAAGTCAGATGGCAACCCATGAATGAAAAAAGTTGTCTGGGTTGGGATGACATGTAAGAGCAAAACCTTGAAAACAACAAATCAAGGCAGAAGGATGGCCTTCTCAAATGTGTGCACTCAAATGAGGAAATGCTGGGGGGTAGCACTGTGAGGAAACTCTGGTACATGTTTTGGAAATCTGCATAACCATCTGAAGTTTCTGTGCTCCAGTGCACACTGGAGCACCTCTCTTATGAGGAAAGGCTGAGGAAACTGGGTCTGTTCAGACTTGGGAAAAGACAGTTGACAGGGAATCTGATAAATATCCATAAATTTCCAAGGTATGAGAGGCAAAGGAACGAGGCCAGTCTCTTTTTAGTGGTGCATGGAGACAGGACAAAGGGAAATGGCCACAAGCTGAAGCACAGGAAGTTCTACACGAATGTGTGTAAGAACTTCTTTACAATAAGGGTGACGTAGCACCAGAACAAGCTGCCTGGAGAGGTTGTGGAGTCTCCCTCTCTGGAAACATTAAGACTGCATGCCTACCTGTACAACCTGGTGTAGGGAGCCTGCTTTGGCAGCTGGATTGAACTAGATGATCTCTAGCGGTTTCTTTCAGCCAAAATTCCAATTCTGTGATTCTGTGTTGCCGTTTATGCAAGAAAGCAGTGGGAATGCAGGAAACTATTTACTTGCAGATGATGAACGATCTGAGAGTCTAGGAATAGTGGGCAGACCAACATGGGTTATGCTATGGTGGGTGTCTGCTACCAATGTCCTTGCAAGGAGGAAGTACATGAGGCCTTCACAGTAGAGGAGGAAGCTTGCCGTTCTCTGATCCTTGTTAGAGAATTAAACTATCTGTGTGGAGAAATATAGCAGAGCACAAGATTTCGTTTCTAGGTTTCTAGAGTGCAGTAATGATAAATTCTTCACACAGATGATTAAATAGCTTTATTATTCAACTTTACTAACGTATTATATCTAGTATCAACTTTACTTCTCTGACACTCAGATCTAGATTCAGATGTTTTATTACTTTGTTTTGTTGTTTTTTTTTTTTTTTTTTAACAGACTTGAAAGAATATGTATGAGATTTTGAGATAATGGTGTTTGGAAATCATCAGTGTGTGCAATTGCAGAGGACAACAGAAAATGTATATTGACAACTTGACAATTGACAATTTGAAATTAAATATACATATCATTAATTTATCCAAGACAGGCAATGTTCCATTTGGAAAAGTATGTTTTAGGTTATGAAATGAACAGAGGTAGATGAAAAGGTGAATTATAGATTCACATAGTTTTCTCATCCAACATTTTTCCGAAGAAGTAGATCCTCCTTCTACTGTTTATATTTCTAATTCCGAACTTTTCTTTCAGCTGATCTATCTGATAGACAATATAATTTATAATTCAATAAAGACAAAAAAAAAAAAAAACAAAAAAAAAACCAGAAGAGGAAATAAGCAGTGTAGAATGTTGGTATATTGATTTCTTTTACATTCCTACCTGGTTCCAAGCTGCATAACAAACCTATTGTGAAATATTTCTCCAA